TAAAATTGGGACACTAAATTGGCCAAAAAAATTGGCACTGTGGGTGGAGTTGTAAACTGATCCAACCATACTGGAGAGGAATTTGGAACTATGACCACAGGGCTACAGAACTGTGCATACATACCCTTTGGTCCGGCAATACCAGTACTAAGTCTGTATCCCAAAGAGATAAAAAATAAATAAAGGGGAAAAGACCTATTTGTACGAAAATAGTTATAACAGCTATTTTTGTGGAGGCTAAGAACTGAAAACTGTGGGGATGCCCATCACTTGGGGAATGGCTGAACAAGTTGTGATATATGATTTTGATGGAATATTATTGTGCTATAAGAAATGACGAGCAGGATGCTTTCAGGAAAAACCTGGACTTACACGAACTGATGCGGAGTGAAGTGAGCTGAACCAGGAGAACATCATACACAGTGACAGCAATATTTTATGATGAATTGTAAATGATTTAGCTATTCTCAGCAATACAATGATCCAAAACAATATCAAAGAACTCATGATGAAAAATGCTATCCACATCCAAAGAAAGAACTGATGGAGTCTGAATGAGGATCGAAGCATACTATTTTTCTTTTTTTGTTTCTTCTCTCTCTCGTTTTCTCCTACAAAAATGACTGATAGGGACATATATTTTACATGATTTGGTCATATATAACCTATATCAGATTGTGCACTGCTTCAGGGAGGGGTTGGGAAGGGAGGGTAGGATTGAATTTGGAACTCAAAACATTAAAAAAATGTTAAAAATTGTTTTCATGTAATTGGGGAAGATGACGTTTGGTTGATTTGGTTTTTTTTTTTTAAAGACCCAAATGAAGAGGAACTAAGAAGTTTCACAATATCTCCTTCCTCTTTATACCTCCCACTCCCCTTGCTCCCAATATCACCTCTAAGCCGAAACCTTGGTACTCCTATCATCTTTCCTTTGGTGTCTGTGTCTTTTCAAACCTTTCTTTGGGGGAAAGGGGTATCACAGCACCACGGAATGTCAGAACTAGAAGAGATCTTAAAGGTCCTCTAATCCAAATTCTCATTTTATGGAGGAACAAGCTAAAGATCAGACAGAAGTTATTTTTCCCCCAGGTTACATAGCTATTGGGGCAGTCAAGTATTCTTTATAATAGTTCATTCAAAAGAACAGATCTTGTCACGTGTACATTGTCTCTGTGTTTGGACTAACCTCCTCCCAACCCCCCCCCCCCCCTTTTTTTTTTCTGTTATGACTAAGCCAGCACTATGGGAATGAAGGCTGGCTGTAGTACAAGAACACTCCATGATGCTGTTGGGACTACACACTGAGAAAGTCAAGGGGAGATTAGAAAGTCAAACAGATCCTTAATGGATTCCCAGTAAATCCAAAGTAGATAGCTGAGAGTTGACTGTAATTTAAACAAATTCATTTCACATCACAGTCACTTGGAAAAAACTAAAAGGCATTCATGGATATACAGATTTTTATTCATCCAATAAGTAATTACTGTAAATGATACTGTATGCGCTAAGAAAAAAATGTCATAGGATAAACTATAATGTATAATCAATCAATCATATGGAAAATTCTTATACATACATTTTAAGTTGTGGCCTCCCTCTGGCTCATTTCCCTTTGCCATCAGATGATAGCAGTAGAGATAGCCTGGTGTATCTAACACTGGATGAGAGCTAGACTTGCAGTGAGTTGAGAGTGAAGTTCAAATATGAATTCTTGTACTTACTAGTTGTGGGACTATGGGATAAATCATTTAACTCCTCTGAGTCTCAGTTTTTAAGTCTGCTAAACTGCAATAAGATAATTGTGTTTATTTCTCAGGGTTATTGAAAGATTCAAATGAGATATGTGTACTGTACTTTGCAAACCTTAAAGTTCTCTAAAAATGTTAGCTATTACTATTTCTGTGCTTCAGTATTTTAAAAGAGATGTGATCTATCTCACTGATGTGGATCGATCCTCTAATGATACTCAGCACTACTCATCTATGCCTTTTTATTCTGTGCAACGTTTGTCAGTGTTCTCCCATGTGTCCCCCATAGGGCTTGGATCTGGCACTGTGAGACCTTGGACAAATCTCTTCATCTCTTTTACCTCAATTTCCTCATCTGTAAATGAGTGGATTACTTTAGACTGACTTTTAAGGTCTCTTCCAGTTTTAACAACTTATGGAAGTGGAACTTATACTGCCAGCCTCCATTTCTACACCACTTACTCTCTCCTTAAATTCCCTAGGATTTCCCCTTTATCTCCCTCATTCTGCTAAAGTTGCTCAAAGATCACAAATGAGCAAGTTTCTTCTAGCCAAGTTAATAGCATCAGTCACAAAATCTCCTTGGTGGAAGCAACTTCGAAAGCCACGTAGACCAACTTGTGCCTGAAGCCTTAGCTTACAGACCTCCCAAATAAATGCTGAGCATTATTATTATTAATGATGACATTATTATCACTGTTACCTCAAGACCCTTTACTTTTCTGATTGTCCTCCAGCTTATCAAAATCCTTAAAATGTAGTGCCTACAAATAAAGACAATACACCACATGTGCTTTAACTGAAGCAGAATACAATGGGAACATCAACTCCTTAGTGTTGGACACTAGCCCCTTGTTAATGCGGCTTAAGATTGCACTAACTTTCTTGGCTACCCAGTCGCAATGTTAACACATCTTGAGTGTGAAGTCCATGAAAAATGCCAGGTTTTTTTTTTAAGATGTACTGCTGTCTAGACCCACCTGCATCTTATGTGTGAAGTTGATCTTTTCACTCAGGTCTAAGAAATAAAAAGTAAAAGGTAAAAGACATCAAGAAGAGAAAAATAGTGGTGTAAGCTTCACAAAATTTAGAATTAAAAAGTTTTTACTTTTCACATTTGTCCTTGTTAAATTTCACCTTATTAGATTCAGCCCAGAGTTCTAGCCTGTCAAAATCTTTTTGGGCCTTGTCACTCTGCTTTGTACCTTCCGCTAATATGATAAACATGCCATCTATGCCTTTATTCAAGTCACTGATTAAAATGTAAACCAGTACAAGGTTAATAAACAAAGATCCCCAAGGTCCTCAACCACAGACCCCCTTTCCAAGGTGACATAATACCATGTCTGGCATGACAAGTTCTGAAGGAAACTATGCTGGGTCTTTGTGATCACCCCCTTCCTTTCCTAGATGTTCTTTTAATGATATATTCTAAAATTTTGCTAGGAATAAAAGCAAACTCATTGGCCTATAGCTTACACATTTTTTTTCTCTTCCTTTTTCTAAAAATGGGAACATTTGTCTTTTTTTTTCAGTCCCATGGTACCGCTCCAGTTCTCTACTGTCTTTCAGATGTCACTAATAATGGCTCAGCAAATATATTCTCCAGTGCTTTTATCAGCCAAAGACATAGTGCATATGGGCCAGGTGACTTGAGCACATGTCTAAAATAAGGGCCCCACCCTTGTTACAGTCCTACTGGGATCTTCCCTGGGAGATCACATGTGAAGTACCATGTTCCATTGTGGGTACCGCATTTTACAAAATACTAACAGTGAAGGAAGCATCATCAGAGGGAAACGTAGCATGGCATAGTAGACAGCGCACTGGACTCAGAGTCTGGAATACCTAGGTTCAAATCCCGCTTCAGTTACCTCATGTATAAAATAAGAGGGCTGGACTCGATGACTGTTACAGTTGCTTTCTAGAAAAAAAGTTGCTTTCTAGTTGCTTTCTATTCTACATGAATAAGATCTAAGAAATATTAACAAACAAACAGCATGCCCTAAGAAAGGCGACGATGATGATGAGGGAGGACTCAAAACTATGCCTAATGAGGCTCAGTTCAAAGAACTGGCTTTGGGAGCCTGAAGGGAAGATTTAGTGTAAGCACAAGAGCTGCTTTCAAATCTCTGAAGGGCTATGATGTGGAAGAGGGACTTGTTCTGCTTAACTCCAAAGGACAAAACAATGGGTTGAAGTTACAGAAAAGTAGACCTGGACCTCTTGCAAGGAAAAACTCCTCAACAATAAGAGAATCTCCTCCCTCTTTGTGGGGAATCATCAGGAACCCTGAGATAAAGGTCAGTCATGGCCACTCACACTATGATAAGCTCAGAGTCACCACCACACTTTACTATCTGTTCTACCCCTACTCCAGCCCAGGGGCATTGCCATTTTTTTTCTGCCGACAGACCCTAAGGAACAATGGTCCTTTCCATCTGTCATAGAATTACACCTTCCTACATGTGTTGTTTCCCCCAATTAAAATGTGATCACACTGAAAGCCAAAACTGTATAATTTTTACTATTCCTATTCCCAATTATCAGTATGGATTTTGGCACAGAGTAAGCAATTACTCAGTAAATGCTTTTCATTAACTTGTTCAATCATTATTCCATGCAACAAGAACCTTTCTTATCAATTAGGCTGGTATTCTTAATATGTGTCTCTTCTTATCCTCATATGCTCATTCACTCCTATAGGTGTTTGTTCATACTGTTTAGAGGATCATAAAATTTGGAGCTACAGGGATCCTTAGAGATCATCTAGTTTAACTCTCATTTTTGAGACGAGAAAACTGATCTGAGCCAGGATTTGAACTCAAGTCTTCCAAATCCACTATATCATTCTATTTCTCCTATTTAGAATAACTCCCCTTATCTTCTCACAATTCAAATACTGCCATTCCTTCAAGATCCAATTCAATATCTACCTCCTTCATGAAGATTTCTAGAATTACCCTAGCCCTCAATAACATTTCCCCCATTTGTAAATTCTTGTAACAGTTCAGTATTTAGCTTATATACACTACTTCATACTTAAACATGTTGCCCCATATTGGTTCACTAGTAGTGTCATAAATATACATACTGAGAAATCTGCCCCTTTTATGTTGATTTCTAAGCGAAAGTAAGACTATATGTACATTATTCACAATGAAGCTATTGGGAATTGTCACCTCTTCAATCTGGGTAGCCCACATTATAAGCTTGGTTAGGACCAATGAAGATTAGAAGACCACAGCATCAGTGTAACATTATTCCATTTATTTACAGCGTTGCTTCATATACCAAAGGCATTTCTGGGATTTGGTTCCATCATTGAGAGGGTCCATCTGCAATAGTTTCTTAAACCATGTTAGCTGGTTGGCCAGACTGCAACTACCACAATTGCAATGAGCAGCAATACAATCACCATCATCATTCCTGGAAAAAAAAAGTACAAATTACTTCTTTAATTTTATTGAAATGATGTTTCCAAAAGAAAACACATTCTAGTAAGCCTTTTCTGAAGAAAAAGATAGCAATGCCTAAACATTCTTGAAAATGTCAAAATAGAATTTTCTAGTCATCTGACCAGTAAAATGGAAGTGTAGCCCTCACTGTCTCTCAAAAACAAAACAAAACAGATGAATTATATGCCAGATGTAGAACAATTACAACTGTTTCTATAAGGACAAGAAAGCAAGAAGCATTAAGAGAAGCACTGTGGGTGCCATTACTGTTGGAGCCTGAATCTGCACAGGCCAGAGTATCACATCTCTGGTCCACCACAGATGATGAGGTCAGAATGTGTTACGTGGGATAGTTCAGGAAATACCAAAGGATTCTAGCCACTCATTCCAGGGCCGGAGTTTCTCCTCCTGTCAATGTTCATCATCTTCTCCATTAATGCAACACTCCTGACTTTTACAAAATTAACTGGGACACAAATGGCACAATTGTCAATATTCCTAATTTCATAAAGATCTCTGCTCCTGGGGAAAATTAGGCATTGTGTTATAAAGTGCCTCCCCCAAATGGCTTTTCTCCTTTTATTACACAAACATAGTCCTATCCCTAAACTGGGGAAGGATAAAAACAAAGAGGAATCATAGATCAATATCAACAAATGAATGTCAGTTCAAAATTTTTGAAAATAATTTTTAACATAATAAAAAGTATCTACCTAAAACAAAACATAAGCACCATGTGCAATGGTGATATATTAGAAGCTTTCCCAATAAATACAGCAGCAATGGAAAGATAGCTACTCTTCCCATTATTACTTGACATAGTTCTAGAAATGTTAAGCAATGAAAAAAGAGAAAAAATTAGAAGTGTAAAGACAGATAAAGAGAAGCCATAACTATCCTTATTTGCTGACAACACAAGAGTTTACTTAGAAAATCCAAGGAATTCAATAAGAGACTAATTAAGACAATTAATAGTATGATCCAAGATGTGGGTTACAAATTTAACCCATCAAATCAACAGCATTTCAAAATCCAAAAAGCAAATCCAATCCAAAATTACTAAAAAGTGTATAAATATTTGAGAATCAATCTATCTAAACACATTCAATACTTGTATAGATTCAGTTACAAAATATTTTTTAAAGAAATAAATGGCAAATGAAATAGCTGGAGGAATATTTAGTTCTCATGGCTGAACTATGCCAATGTGATAAAATGACAATAAATCAAAGTTAATGTATGGTTTTAATCCTAGATTAATGAAACTACCAAAATCACATTTTACAGAGTTAAATAATGACAAAATTCATTTAAATGAATAAAAAAATCTAGAATATTAAAAGAATTAATGAAAAAAATGTTGGAATGAAGGGGAATTAGCACTTCAAGAACTTAAACTTTAGGACTAATATACTACTATAAGGCATCAATCATCAAAACCATTTGGTATTGGTTTAAAAAACAGATCAACACTTCATACCCATCAGCTTGGCTAAGATAACAAAAAAGAAAAATGACATGCTGGGGGCACGTGGGAAAAAAGGCATACTAATGTACTGTTGGTGGAGCTGTGAACTAATCCAACCATTCTGGAAAGCTATTTGGAACCATGCCCAGGACGCTATTAAACTGCATCCCCTTTGACCCTATACCACCATTACTAGGGGTTGTATCTCAGGAAGGTCAAAGAAAGAGGAAAATAGCCCATATGTACAAAAATATTTAAAGCAGTTCAGTTAGTGGTGGGAGAGAACAGAAAACTAAGAAGATACCCATTAGCTGGGGAACAGCTGAACAAATTTGCCATACGAATGTGATAAAATATTATTTATAATAAATGATGGGGGGTGGAGGCAAGGCAGAGACTTGACTGGGCTCTCCCAAATTCCGCTCCAAACAACATTAAAATAAATCCTCAATCCATGAGATATCAACAAACAAAACAAAATCTAGAGAATGAAAGAATAGAAGAAAATGTGCAATATCTCACTGGAAAAATAACTGACCTGGAAAACAGATCCAGGAGAGATAATTTAAGAATTATTTGGACTATCTGAAAGCCATGATCAAAAAAAGAGGCTAGACATCATCTTTCAAAAAATTATCAAGGAAAACTGCCCTGATATTCTAGAACCAGAGGGTACAAAAGAAATTGAAAGAATCCACCAATCACCTCTTAAAACTGATCCCCAAATGACAACTCACAGAAATATTATAGCCTAATTCCAGAGCTCCAAGACCACGAAGAACATACTGCAAGCCGCCAGAAAGAAACAATTCAAATATCGTGGAGCCACAGAGATAACACAAGATTTAGCAGCTTCTACATTAAAGGATCAGAGGGCTTGGAATGAGATATTCTGGAGGGCAAAGGAGCTAAGATTGCAGCCAAGAATCACTTACCAGCTAAAGCAAGAACAATCCTTCAGGGGAAAAAATAAATAATTAATGAAACAGAGGACTTTCAAGTATTCCTGATGAAAAGACCAGAGTTGAACAGAAGATTTGACTTTCAAACAGATGACTCAAGAGAAACATGAAAAAGTAAACAGGGAAGTGAAATCATAAGGGATTCAATAAGGTTAAACTGTTTACATTCCTACATGGGAAGATGATACTTGTAACTCCTAAGAACTTTCTCATTATTAGGGCAGTTTGAAGGACACATAGACAGAAAGCATGAGTGTGAATTGACTATGATGGGATGATATCTAAAAAAAAAAAAATAAGGGATGAGAAAGAGGGATGTACTAGGAGAAGGGGGAAGGGAGAAGTAGAATGGGGAAAATTATCTCACATAAAAAGGCATGAAATAACTTTTACAGTGGAGATGGGGGGTATGTACAGGTAACAGACAATGCTTGAATCTTACACTCATCAGAATTGGCTCAAAGATGGAATAACATGCATACTCAGAATAACATTCATACTGAGTAAAGAAATCTATCTTATCCTACAAGGAAGTAAGAGGGGAGAAGAAGAAAAAGGGGTGGGGCTGATAAAAGGAAGGGCAGATTGGGGGAGGTAGTGATTAGAAGCAAAACACTTTTGAGGATGGACAGGGTGAAAGGAGAGAGACAGAGAGAAAGATAAACAGGAAAATAGGGTGGAGGAAAATATACAATAATCATAACTAAAAAATTTTTTACTGCAAGTTTCTCTGATAAAGGCCTCATTTTTCAAATACACAGAGAACGGAGTCAAATTTATAAGAATTAGAGTCATTTCATTTTCAGATTAAGAAATCAAAGCTATCTATAGTCATATGAAAAAATGTTCCAAATCACTATAGATTAGAGAAATGCAAATTAAAACAATTCTGAGGTGCAACCTCAAACCTATCAGATTGGCTAATATGATGCAAAGGGAAAATGACAAATGTTTTTTGAATCTGGAACTCAACATTTTAAAAAATGAATGTTAAAAAGTGTTTTTATATGTAATTGGAAAAAAACAAAATATTTTTTAAAATGATAAAGAGGACAGTTTCAGAAAAACCTGGGAAGACTTGTATGAACTAATGCAAAGTGAGTAGAACCAGGTGAATAATCTATACAGTAACAGTAATAAAGATAATTAACTTTGAAAGACTTAGTAAATCTGATCAACACAATGGTCAACCACAATTCCAAAGGATTCATGATGCTAGCCACCTCAGCCTCGTTATGAGTCTCTCCAAATGTATCTATCTCTGAACAAAAGTCTTTCAAGTTCATCCTGGGACCTAGACTCAAACTGCTTTCTAGCTTGGTAGGACCTGCCAGAACTGGTCCTAGAATAGGCCTTTAGTAGAAGCCTTCCTTACATATAGTAGATACTCAATATATGCTAATTGAATAGACTTATTAAATTTACATATTCTATATAACTATGTGAGGCAGGGTTTTTTTATATCAAACATTTTTTTTTCTTAAAGTGACAAGCTTACATAAAAGAGCAACTGCAAATTGAAATGTTTCTAGTAGAAAATGTTTTGATGCTAGTCAATCTCAAATAATTTATTGCAAAATTATTCCAAATAGAGAATTCTGAGAGCAGGCTAAACATTCTTAAAGCTGGTACAAAGTATTGATTAAGGGGCTTATATGTTATTAGATTTCTACTTTATGTAAATGAGTAAGTCACTGACCACTTAGATAAGTGTTTTGAAATGGCATGGTTCTCTGCTAGCCATCTACACAGAAGATACCAGCAAATATGAGGTCATCTCCTCTACTTAAGAAAACAAGATTTGCAAATACTCAATTATTTAAACTTTCCACAAGATACTGTTTTGGACTAGGACAGCCTCTCTGTTCTGGAAAATGATTTAAGTGATTGATATACTCCAGAATTTTCATTCCCACTGCCTTCTCCTCATTGGTGTCTCTTGATGTTGAACATGATGAGAACAAGTTCTTTTTCTCCGATACATCTTGCCCTAGTTCACACTGATCCTCCAGAAGATAATATAACCTACTAAAGATAACAGTAAACTTACAAATATTAATTATTTCTATTTTACAGATGAAGAAACTTAGATCTTAAGTATCTTGCCCAAGGTCATATGGTTGGTAAGTAATACAAAGGTCCAGGATCTGAACCCAGGTCTTTTGACTTTAAAGTTTAAAGACTTTAAAGGCTCTTTGAACTATACAGAGCTACAAACTTAGATATGCTCTAACAAGGTCACAGAATAATGGAAAAAATGACAGGATGGAAGAAAGTTGTTATGAATCTATGATACGTGTATGTCCACAAAAACTAAAAATTTATCTTACTATTGAATCATTGTGTACGTATGTATGTGTATATATAAATGTCATGTGTATTCTATACACGTACACATGAGTACATATATATACACAGATATATGTTCACATTCATGATATTTAGCAACATATTTTGTATTGCTAAACTAGTTGCTACATGGCTATAAATTATGTTACTGGTCAGAAATAAAAAGTTAGACCTTTAGAGTAAAGATAAACA